TAAGGAAAAAAGGGTCTTGAAGCTAAAAGCGTTTTTTTGAAGTAAGTAGCAGTCACAGGAGTACCTCTCACAATTACGTCGCCTAGGTAGTCACTTAACTTCACAATTTATTTTAAAGAAATACTCACTTCGGCTTTTCAGCTATCCAGTTTGCAAGAGACAGCCAAAATTGCCAATCCATCGCGCAAAGGCAGGGGAAAACTGCTGAGTTGGCAGATCGTTTTTGTGTCACACAGGAGCCGAATTTCCTGGATGCTCAGGAAGGCATCATTGCTTTGATGTAATTTGGCATGTAGACTAGCGAACATTTATTAAAAGCATGTAGATTTTATGTCTGCAGTAAATGGCAATGTAATTATCACAAAATAATGCGAATAAGGAGAATATGGAGATTCATACACAAAGTAAAACCATTCATCTCTCCCTCATCATTTCATTTTTTTAATGGCGTCACCTTTTCTGCTCATCTGTCAACTCATCCATCTGACTTGACACGGTAAATATAACTGATGGATACAAACGCGTCATGAAGTAGTCTCGACGATCTTTAAAATACCAGAGCTGCAACAATCTTCACGTGACAACCTGTTGCCTGACGTAAAACCACACAGTGTTAACAACTAAACGTAAATGACATAGTGACTTTGACATGAATACAATATGCATTACCTCTATCACATTACTCTTATTACATCACATGCCTTTGCAGTTTTGCAGCTCTCCTGTTGTTACCTGCCTATCTCACACAAATAATTGCCCGATCCTCCTTCTTGGAGGTATGTCGTGTCGAATCGTGTAAGTCACTTTCTGGCGTTGATTAACTTTGGTCTTCACTACCTGACGATCCAAAATTGGAGGTGCGAGAGCAACACCGGATGCGGAACCAGACATTTCCTGCATGCTCAATGCACCTATCCACTGTGCGTAAATCGCGTAATTCGCTCTTCACTGGCATCTGCCATAGGACGAAAATGAGGTAATGGATAGATCTTGAACAAGGAAGGAATAAAACGAAGTGATGGGAGATGCTATCCCTAGTGTCAACGATGCCTTTTTAAAAAAATTGTAGATATTTTAGGTAGTTTGCCTCTCGGTCTGTGAGTGAGTAGACTTATCTCGTTTTGACTGTTAATTTTAGGAACCAGGCCTTCCAACTCTCATACTTTATCTCCCTCAAATAACTCTGTTTCATTCGTATTTGAGATTGTCTTTATTGAGGATTATAGTTGCTTACACTTTTTGTCATTCTGCTGCCTTTCAATTACAGTGTAGTATTAGCATTCCCTGGATTTGTTGGCCTTTCTTCGTAGACTACGGCAAGACCTA